ACTTTATAAAGAAAATGAGAGACGGGTAATCTAAAATCACTAATTGCTTCATTTAATGATCGGAGAGGTTATATAGCTGCCAGTCGCAAGAATCGAGTCATTACATGTTATAGATATAAGAGTCGATGTGAGCCCATTTTAAAAGTGCGAGAATTGGAATTTCAACATTACCAAGCTTGAGCAATGAGCACTATATATTTGATGTGAGCCCATTTTTACAGAGGATAGGAGATTTCAACATCACAGAACAGGGAGCACTAGGGCACCTATATATAATTATATACAGTTATAACTACTGTTCCTTAACCATCCTATATCTACTTAGTTAAACATCATAGTCCGTGCTCTCCGGAAACGCCAGAATCTGGCTTAACCCTTTTCTTGATTTTTATCAATGATATCGAACATTGTATCATGCACTCTATGATTTGATGTTTTGCTGATGACACTCGCATATCAATTGCTATCAAATCAGAGAATGACATCAAGCAGCAAGCTCCTCCAAAAATATCTGCAAAATGTCATTGATTGGTCTGAAAGAAATAATACGGCCCTTCACAAAGACAAATTTGAGTACATGTGCCACAAATTCAACCACCAATATGTACTATCTGAGCTTCCATTTATGGTTGAACATTATCAATACTCAGTTTCCAAAGACACTGCACTTGAGTACACTGTACATCAGCTCTGGATTTAGGCGTCCTAGTGTCAAGTGATCTCTCTTGGTCTCAGTGGCGTAACGTTGCCTGTTGGCACCCCCGCCCCCCAGAATATCAGGAATGCACGATTTCCACTACTGGGATCGCCTGGTCTATCTATCTCTGATGTCTCGTCAACGAAGGCAGGAGCGATCCATCATTCTCCATATGTGAAAAATCCTCCACGGAAAGACCAGCAATAATCTGAACGTTCTATTTTTTTCACGCCCAAGGCTTGGAAACTTCGCAATAATTCCATCAAAACGTAGAACCAGTTCAACAGCAAACCTGATCACCTTGTTTCATGACAACTCATTTGCAGTTCAGGGACTTAAACTGCAATCCCCTACCATCTGAATGTCATTCAAGATCTGGAGCACTTCAAAGATAAGCTTACAAAGTTCATGTTGTCTCTCCCTGATAAGCCGCCGATCAGGGGATATACTCCTCCAAATACGAACTCTCTGCTGTGCTGGCGCAACGAGCGAGACTTTACCTCGCTATGGGGTGGTCAGAAGATGTGATGGCCCCGTCAAGTCTTGACGAAACTCAGCATAGGTCACACAGGTAGTACATGATTATTATTGTACTACTAAATTGACTATAAATTAAGACAGAGAAAATGCGCTGCAATATGGTAATTAGTAACTTAGTAAGTATAAAGCATGTCTGAAAAATGATCCAGTGTGTTGTAATCACGGACTCGATGATGCTCGATACTTGAGGCATTCTAATAGTAATGTCACTAATTTAAGATTGTATAAGATTGTAGAAGATTGTATAATGTTTTAAAACATTATGAAAGTACATACTACATATAATATATATCGATAGACGATATCTTATTAATATTAACATGATTAAGGCAATTGTTATAAACCTCCTGGAAAATATTCATTATCGGTCATAGAATAAGCACATAAATGATGATTAATAAATGATAAATTATGATAAGGGCATAAACACGGTAACAAGAAAAATATAATTCTGCCGCAAACTTCGTAAATATTCACCACAACTTGTCATATAATTTTCTTTTTTTCGATAGTTGCGGCAATTAAATAAAAATCCTGTCACTGTTTTGAAACCCAGTTTATTTTGGTAGAAACTTTGGGAGAAATAAATCAACTGCAGGAGAAATAGAGCAATTACGTGTGAAATAATAATGAACGATAATTGGATGTAAGTGTACTGAATTAGAGACTCATCTCATTCATCAACAGCAAAAGACGACCTGTTAGTCATCACAAGTATACACACTAGACTGAACTTAAACATGTACTGTTAACATGTACTGTTAACATGTACTGGTTAAAGCAGAGTTAAAAAACGAAGTTAAAACGAATGCAGTAACTGTGTAACAGTCACAAATCACAAAAAAATATCACAAAACATGGTATGAATGTAATTAAAACGGATAAAGTGGCTACACAAGTGTACATTGTAAAACTACAAATTAGTCACGCACGGAATTATGCACTATGAGAAGAGGATATTTAACATGCCGTGAAACCATACATGTGTATACCTACTACCGCACTCTTACTACAGTGTACTGCACTTCTGCAACACTCATCACCACGTATAATGTCACACTTCTAATCTATCTTCTAGAATGTTCTTTTTATTGAAATGTCAGCACTTTCTTTGACCTGATGTGTTCAAGGGAGCACGTGAAAGTTAGGTTAATTTCTTTGAGCAGAAGTGAAATAGAATCGAATAAGAAAATGTACGCTACGTCATTAACCTTTTAACCCAGTACATAGTGGTTATAAATGACCTTATCGTTTAGGTGCAAACTCTATAATAGAGCTAATATTGCACTCAAACTTTTTTAGGGCATAGACCGATAACAAAAGGATAAAGTTACAACACCATTGCACCATTGCACCATTGCACCATTGCATAGATCTGTAAACTATTTATTTATCTTAACACATTGTATACTGTGCGCTTACAAGTTACAAAAAACAATAAATGTTTTAGTCCACCAACGACAAAAAGCAAAACACCTCGTAGGTTTTGAAATAGAGCCATTTATAAAATATGACACCCTTTTAGGAACCTTTGATTGACAAAGCCTCAGTCTTCATTTACGTCAGATATTCATAATGCTACAGTCTGGAGATATATTATATTCTCATAGATCCTTCCAGAACAGCGAAATAAATGGTACCAAATGAACGCATACCACTACACCAGCCATCAAATACGATTATCAGATCAAATGGTGATGCAGACACGTCATTACAGGATTGCCTACGTTGCATCAGGGGACTGTTAACTTACTGTACTGAGAGAACAGTAAAGTATAGGTGTTGGTATTTAAACTTTAAAAGAAATTACAGATAAGTGGCTTGCTGGGAGACGTAGCATTATAACTGAGCGAACAAATATAACAATAGTGGCACCGGTCAATGTCCAGCCAGGTGTCACTAAGTACTGATGTTTAGACCCTGCAGCTCGCTCTACATGTTGTATTACCTTATATATAAGTTTATACTTCAGTTAATAAATTTTAGGGCATGTCACGTGAATATAACGTACTATACCACTTATTCAATCATGGGGTCGTGTAATTACTCAATTAGTAACTGCTCAATTAGTAACTGCTCAATTAGTAACTACTAAATTAGTAACTACTCAATTAGTACCTAACTACTAAATTAGAAACTACCCAATTACCTATAGCACTTAAGATTAATACCTCAAGAATGAACATTGCACAATGGGCACATTTAGTCTCCTGAGGAGCCTAGTAGAGGATTTTGTTGGAATTTTTAAACTCATTCGTTGTCTGCAGTCTGACTGTGGGAACTATTGATTCTTGAGGAGCCTAGTATAGAGAGGATTGACTGTTGTAGGAATTAGGATATAGTTTAACGGAAACTTGATAAGGAAAGCACCAGCTATGATAACGGATTTCCAAGTTGTGATGGTATACGAGTCTCTCATCCGAACCAGAGGGACCAAGTTGGATACTAGATCCACTTACGATGCAACATTGCAACGAGCAAAAATTAAGAATGATAGGCAATATTCTGAATATTGCAGTTTGCACCAAATCAAGCTTTCTATGACATGATCAGACTCTAAATGGCGAACACTAGACAGTCACGTCCCACTATGGTATTGGTCACGGCGTGAGTGGACGGAGTTTAACCGATATGATAGGCTATAACTCAAAGCGAAACTTACGGTATATTCACTGAAATTGCTTTCGCGAGCATATTAAAGGCCATTACTCGTGCACTATAACAAAATGGTAAAGTGTGGCTTATTAGCGATAGGGTGAAGTCGACAGTAAGAAAATTACAACAGGTATATGTTAAGTTTAAACCATTACTTTTCTGAATACCGAACAAACCGATTACATAACCAGATGGCCACATGGCGAGTAAATGAAACCGACTCAAGTCAGTACAATATTCCAGATGATTCGCGATAATGAGATGAAAGTTCATACGACTGAAACTATTTGTCCAGCATAATTCACGCTTTTACATATATTATAATGGAATTAAAGTAAATGAGTAACTCACTAAAAGTCACTATAGAAGCTTTGCAATTAGTGACTCGCATACAACATTCTAACATATAATGACATGCATTTAACCCCACATGTTACCTTAAAGCCTTAATATGAAGGCCGGCTTTTTAGCGGATGAAAAGAGCAACTCGAGCAAACCTTGCCATTAGGGTGTAGGATTACAGGGTGCCTCCTGCGTTACCTTGACAACGTACTTTTAATTTCTGATTTCATAATCCTCGCGGATGGCAGTGCTGTCTTAGGACCGGGTATCGTACAGGTTGCTATGGTTTGCTTCGCTTTGTTTGTGCCACTGCTTCTTCAATAAGCCATGAACATCTGACGTTTTAAGCTTTATAGTATCTTTACAGTGTAATGGCTGTTGTCATCTTTAATCGTGCAGAGAAGTGATATCTCAGTATAATCACTGCACTGGTGAAACAGTACCACTCCCATGAGGTTGCTTCGGAGATCACAGAGAGTTGTAATGCCACCTGTGATTAGTAATCTAAACAGTGGGTAATCACTGATTACCCACTGTTATGTAATGCCACCTGTCATTACCCACTCAACCCACTGTTTAGTGTTTATAGATGTGTGTGGTAATAAAGGATAATTATTTGACGCTTAACTAATTCTAATATCAAATCCTGTCGACCTCAGGGAGGTTCAAACGATGGATATTTATTTGATTTGGCTATGAATTTTCCTGAACAGTTGATCCACGTTGTTAATTTCAAAGAACTCAAAACATAACTTGAATTAGGGGGGACAATGGTGGCGACAAGACGTTCTCATGAGTCAAAGAAAGGTAACCTAAACACGGTGGACCTCGTCCGGAAGGAAGTCAATGTCCAGGAAATGACGCTTGACGAGCTGCGAATAGAGGTGAATAACACAAATCCTCAAATAACACAGGCACATAATAACACAAATATGTCTACATCGGTCGATTGATTGAAGGTTGCAGTTTAAAGGGCGATATAATACGATTTGTGGATTCTCTCTAAGTTGACTTCTTTAAATGATTATTATCTATCTTGTGGGAGAATCAACAAAATGTATTTACTATTGTACTAATATGGCATTATTGGATTTTCAATCGATTAAGTAAAACATTTTTAAAGAACTGAAATGGGTAACGACCACAGCTGAAAAACGAATAATAATTGTCATAATCGGCAACCACACGGTAAATATCCAGGACCACACTGATCTATACACTACAGCTCACTACACAACAACACTAAAAAGCTCACTGCTGAAAGTAAACTTGGCTGATTAGTTTAAAGTTCACAAAGCTCTCCCACCGGCAGCCCTATACTACTCTATAATATACTTATATACATACGGCAGGTTATTGTATGTCAACGTTCCGGTAATTACAGGACAAATAATCCCTCATCAACAGCCGGGGCTAGGTTGGTTATGTATGTGGCCCCTTTATAACATATAAAAAGATAAATGGGGGTGGCGTATAATAATAGTGTGTATAATCTGTTAAATTGGTAATATGCGGGTCCTTTATAACCAGTACTCTGTGTGCAGAAAATTCAGCAATGATTTAAGCGATATCTTAGACCCTGTTGAGTGTTGATTAGTATTACTTATAGCCCTCATAACTAAACTGTACAGTGTATATACGCGAATACGTGCCACTGTCATTATATTGTGAGCAGCATTAACAGATACAAAACTTTTAATTTTGCGAGCATGAACTGGTTTGATGGAAACTATCGCTGTAATCTGAATCAGTCTAGTCTAATGTAGATTTAGTATAATTAGAGCTTTGGTTTTTATGTTTTACTTTGTAGTCTAACCGAGCTATCAATAATGTTTACATTAGTAACTAAAGACTGAGACTAAGAATTTTGATTAACTGTATTTAAGAAGTGAGAACTGAGAAGTACGAAACTAAGACAAACTGGCATTGCAGGTAGAGTTTGAACGAAAGAGACGGCAGCAGTGGAGGACCCTATACTAATACAAACCGGCATTGCAGGTAGAGTTTGAACGAAAGACACGGCAGCAGTGGAGGACCCTACTAAAACAAACTGGCATTGCAGGTAGAGTTTGAATGAAAGAGACGGCAGCAGTGGAGGACCCTACTAATACAAGTTGGCATTGCAGGTAGAGTTTGAACGGAAGAGACGGCAGCAGTGGAGGACCCTACTAAAACAAACTGGCATTGCAGGTAGAGTTTGAACGAAAGAGGCGGCAACAGTGGAGGACCCTACTAATAAAAACTGGTATTGCAGGTAGAGTTTGAACGAAAGAGACGGCAACAGTGGAGGACCCTACTAATAAAAACTGGTATTGCAGGTAGAGTTTGAACGAAAGAGACGGCAGCAGTGGAGGACCCTACTAAAGGAGTCAGCCCGTGATATCGGGAAGGAAGAAGAGATCTTGATAAGAGACGGAGAGGATGAGGAAGACGAGCGATGGCTCAACAAATACAAGATTCAGAGAACCAAAAATGCAGGTTTTTACCAGAGAAATTTAGATATATCCGGGAAAGTTTTCAACGAACCCGCGACACGAACATATCAACATAAGGTTAGAGATTCAGTCAACACAGCGTACACTATCAAATTACTGAATAGAACGTGGTGACAGACCGGACTGCAGCACAGCTGCTAAACTGTTACTTAAGGCTGTAGCACGGCTGCAAACTGTTATTTAAGACTGCAGCACGGCTGCCAAACTGTTACTTAAGGCTGCAGCACGGCTGCCAAACTGTTACTTAAGGCTGCAGCACGGCTGCCAAACTGTTACTCAAGCTACACACTGTTCAACACCCCATTCTTCAGAGCTGGAAGCTGAGCATGAAGACTTACTCGCTAAGATCAACATTACAAAACTAAAGCTGAAGGATGCTGAACGTTCTATGGCACTCAAAAACCCCCTAGGTACGACGATGTGTTAACAGCAAGTTTAATGTGTTAAAGGTGGGGTATTATAAGTTTGTCGGCAAATATAACTCGAGTCAAGCTGTGACTAGCAATTATTCTAGGTATTTTGCAGGGTATTATAAACACTAGCATGTAGTAGCAGCTGGAGAAAATTACCGCAGACAACTCTACATGTCATCAATCAGTAACCACCATGTGCCACGTGGTGAAAGTGTAATCGTATTTTGCAACCCATACATTATTTTACAAAGAAAGACAGGTGAAGTAACCCTAAACCGTGTCAGATTACTCTGACGCAGAAGTGAGGAAACTGCTCGTCACCACCAACAAAGCGAAGAATAGTCTGACGAGTGAGCTGAAGGATTATGAGTGGAGACTGGATAGTGAGTCCCAGGTTCGTCACCGGATCTGTTGTAGGAGAAAATCTAAGAATAGTCGAAAACTGCCTATCTTATAACTTAAACTATCAGCTTATCAGTGAGTGGCCAGTGCCATGTTGAATGTCAAAGCCTGGCATGGCGAATTCCAACCTAAAAATTGTATTCACAGTATCAATACAAAGTTTCAAATTCTATCAAAATGTTAACAAAACCATCCGCAACGCATAGAAGTTCTCGAAAGCCGAGGAACAGCGGAAGACCTTCATGGTGCAACTATACGGAGCAACGGAGGCGAACAGGATCCTTAACACCGAACACAGGTTGAAACACGAGCGAATGCAGAAGAGCAAATCACAGAACAAGTTAGTCGTATGATTTTAAGATTCGTGTCGATTTCAAAATTATGGTCGCACGTTCGAACTGTTAAATGCTCTTAATTTTGTAATTCACGCTTATCATAGCGTTATGCACCGTTATTCCGAGAAGAGCAACATAATCATGCTTCGTAGGTTAGTATAATATTATAGTTATCATCGGCACACTGAGTAAGTTCAATACTTCAAAATAGAAAATATGCTTTTGAGTAGCCTAGAGTGGTTAATTTAGCGAGCTATTTCACGATTCCCCGCTAGAATTACACACCAAGTACAAAAGTGCGCGTGCTCAAAAGCCATAAGAAATTAGAAAGTACAAGTTGCCGGGTGTTGAGATTGTGTGTCGATCGTGTGTCCCTGCAGAATACAAAATACACCGGCTAAAAGTAATGGTCGTTGGAAAGATTTCTGTCGTGTCACCAAGATTGTTTACAATTACATTCTGTGAATATTTTAGGCTCCTGGCATCCCAGAATTCGGAGAAGAAGTGAGTTTTAAATTATTTGCTAAGCTGCAGATCAACAATAATAAGACAAATATATCTTTAACAAGCTGTCGCTTTGTACGATTAATTGGGACGATCTCCGACCGAAACGGCCGTCATAGCTAATAACTTTCCAAAAAGTCAAGAGGAGGTTTAGTCCAGTAGGATGACTCTAAATGTTAATCAGGTCACGTTTTAATCGATCACTGTAATAGTGTAATTAAGTAAAAATCAGTGAACAGTGTTTAGTATAGACATGTAAAATATCTGGATCTGCAAAAGCTAATTTAATGACGGCCGGTAACATTGGTAAGAGATTGTCCCAATAACACTGTCCAGTTCATCGCCGTAATTCAGCTACAATTTGAGATGAAAAGGCGGGGCTAGCAACCCCTGCAATCTGCGATATTGTCAAGTTTATAGTGCAGGTGTGATTGATTAGCTGGAGCTGAGAACAATAAACGATCACCCCCACCGTATGAAATCAACATCACAGTAGGGGCGGGTCCAGGTGGGTGTGGGTGCTGGGCAATCTGTAGTTTCCATACAATGGAGACTTTCGTCACTGTTTCTCTGATATTGGACAGATCTTCGCACACCCTACAACCATCGGAGACCTAAGAAGGTTTCTTATAAAAGCTCATGAACGAAGATTCCCTGAAGCATCCTCTAAACAAATTCCTAACAATAACAGTATTGCCTAATGACAATGTAAGAATCGGAACACTTTTATTAGAGTTCATTTAAATTGTTAGAGAAATAAATCTCATTCTGAAGATTTGCGGGGATTATTTTTTTGTTTGTTATAGCGGTTGCAATTTTATTCTCATTATCTTGTTTATATATACTTTTTGACTTTTGGGTAAATTTATTTTTTGTATTGGGTCATACATTACCATTATAATTTGACTTTTGAATCGTTTAATCCGTTTAATCCGTTTAATACAATGACAGGGTCACCATATTTTATTGCTGCTAGGGAGTACTTAATAATCATGTTTATCCCGATCTGGAGACGGCTGTTAATCCTATGGCTATACAATGAACTCTGTGGAAAACTGCTTATGATTCTCATTTAACGCTACTTTCTAAACGATATTTCTGAAAATATATTAAATTGTTATATTGATCAATATTTTATATGGTAGTGGTACCATCTCTGATATTTCTTATTACAGGCTTAGTGAAAAGAAGATTACTCCTACCAAAAAGTAAGTTAAAGTTGTATTAAAGCCTTTGCCGAATGATATTTACCACAATTGAAACCTTTTTATTATCGATTATTTTACCAAAACCCATAATCATGGGTAGAGTGGACCGCTGCCAGTGTCTCTCTTTCCCAAACAAAAGGAAATGATATCAATTTGATTGACCGTTTTCAAATGCAAAATGATACCGAGAATGAAATCGGTCGCTCGCTTTTCCCATTCATTCACGGCTTATACGAATTGTAATAGGTTTCGATAAATTACATCGATCACATGCTGTAATAATCTCTTTGGGTTGCGTTCGGGTCGATACCTAGTATTTCAGGATAAGGGTGGTAGTTAGTGAATTAGCTGAAGTTTATTGAATCTTTATTGCCGAGTACAGCTGTCTTCGGGTATGGTAGTTCTTCTTTATCTATTACATTTGTAAATGAATGGGAAAAGCGAGCGACCGATTTCATTCTCGGTATCATTTTGCATTTGAAAACGGTCAATCAAATTAATATCATTTCCTTTTGTTTGGGAAAGAAAGACACTGGCAGCGGTCCACTCTACCCATGATTATGGGTTTTGGTAAAATATCATATATTTTTGATTAATGTCAGGGTACTTTATAAAGTCGAAATATAAACTGATATCTTCATTAATAAGGATCGGAAGTTTCAACGATTTCGAAATTTTTCCTTTGAACAAATTTCCTCGTGTTTGGGTAAGCATATCGGTCGATCACTGACTGAATTTGCCACTTTATACTCATTCAAGTTGGCATTAAATTTATATATGATGACATTGAACTGTCGTGGTAAAGCAGAATTTGTTCGAAATCACGAATGAGCAAAATTATCACCTTTCGCACGTGCAAACTATGAGCGGACGTTGCGTGCGCATCCAATATTGAACCGCCGTACATTTTTGCATGTTGGTGTTTTATATATAGTTTGATAAGCATGCAAAGTTTCAAAGTATTTCAAGAAGAACTGTAATCACAACGGCACACCAACGTTTACAGAAAATGGTAAAAACAGCAATTTTCAGTGATTTTAGCAATTTTTAATCAATTTGGGCGTGTCCCCACGTGTGCAACTTTTGAATTTTTAACTTTAGAACTAGCCTAATACACAATTTATACCTATAGAAAGCAGAACTGAGCTCCACAACTCAAGGGATAGCCCAACACCAGAGAATACTAAATCGCAAAATTGACGTTTTTATAAAATAATTCTTCAAAAAAGCACTAACTTCAATGGCAAATATCTTTATGAAGGAGCAAGGTAGGGAAACTTTCCGGTAAATTTTCAGAATACTTGAACAATTATCTAAGGTACAAAGGTCCTCAGATTTTGAATAAAATTTCTCCTTAATGGTGTAAAATCAGTTTGAAAAGTTGTTATTTTGTCAAAAATCAAGTTTTAAAAACACTTAATTTGATGACGTCATCAAGTGGTGATGATGACGTTAAATTATTTTTTGATATAATTGAAACGGAAGTGTAAACAATTATCTTTAAGACCTGTGGTCGGAAATTTCTGTATCTTTTATACTTTTGAATCTACGGACACTTAAATTCAGGCTACAATTGACTACATTTGACTGGCAAAGCGTCTATCCCTGAATATATATGTATCACGACAATCTATCGTAAAACAGGGGTTCCAGAAAACCCATTTCCCGATACTCCTGAAACCAGAGTTGAAAAATACGTGAGATAATTTTTTAAATACGCCGTATTTAACGTTTTTTTGCTTAGAAATAAAATACGTCAAAAATACGTTAAAATACGTTTGCCTATTTTTTTCGTAATTGCATTCAAAAACTTAATAAGTTATGTCTTTCGTTCGCAATTTTTTCAGACACATCGTCATTACGGTTCAATTTCATTTATTTTGTTCCCTTGAACGGGATTGGAATTTACTTTTGGAATTGAACGCAGAAAAATATTCATATTTGTGTAGAAAATCGTCCGTAAAAAAGTTTCAATAAATACACAATTAAGAACACAATTACTCAGATGAATCGTAATCATCATTGAAATCACATTTCTCCATGTTTTGGATAAGTCGAAGGTTGGCATTAATGCCTACTAGCTTTATGGCCTTATCCGTTGCTAGTCTATTTAGAATCTAATAATTCGTATTTGCACGCTTTGGTACGCTTTAGCACGTGCACAGTTCCCTTAAATCATACGCGAGGTGATAAATTACAGAGCTACGCGAGTTTTAATCAAACTTTTAACTTGTATAATTAGAAATAGTACTTATTATTTCATTGGAGCTCTTAATGCTACAAAATCACTTGTAACGTATTTTAACGAATTTTATTCAGCGAAAATAAAATACGCCGTATTTAACGTTTTTTTGATATTTTATAAAATACGTTAAATACGTATTTTTCAACTCTGCCTGAAACACGAATTTTTTTTACAGTCGATTTGGTCAACGTCTAGACGCCCTGCAAAGTTTCAGATCTCTAACTCAATTTTAACATGGTTTTTAAGGCACCTGAATATGGCAATTTTGGGTTTTTTACCGAATTTCGTATAACATGCTGGCGCGTATTTTGCGCAAATTTCTTAAAAACCTCCACATAACTATTTCTTGTTCCTGTCATCTTTAACATTGAATTAGAATGATTTGAACTTAAATATACCTGCTGAACTACTTTCGATGAGTCTTAATGCCCGAAAAACAATAAAGGGTTATAAAAGTAAAGGGGGTAAATAGTATTGTAAATATAAGAGGCACGGTCATGCTTGCCAGCATTGTGATAATCGCTTTGTAAGCGGCCCAGAGGCGCTTTTCTGAGAAATGCACCGTGTATAATCGATTACACATCGATTATGAGAGGTTTGAAAATTTTCGATTATAATCTATATTCAAAAACAGAAAATCGCCAATAATTTTCAAAATCAATAATTGTGGTAACTTGCCATGACACCGTAAAGCAATGATAAGTTGTAGATATTGTAGATATTGCTAGATAAACTACTAATTCAATTAAATTTTCTGTTTAATTTGACTCTCTTTCCACAGCATGACGCCTAGGAGATCGCCAGTTAAGATGCTGGACCCCAAGAAAGGTCCTGTGAAGAAGTCTGCTCTTGTGAAGAACTTGCCTAAACTTGAAGAGAGAAAAAGGAAAACGAACTATTGAAAAGAATGAAATGTATAAATTATCCCTCACAGAAATAGCAAATGACAGATTTTTTAGATGTTTGCACTTTGCTCAACAAATTTTCCCAGCAAAGTCTGTGATTCTTCTAAAACTAGAAAGCTTGCCATAGTGGACAAAAACTGTATCGACACTGTCATTTTTGAACTATTTATATGTAATGTCAGAGTGATCAGACCTAGCTTTCGCCTAAAAAGAAACGTTCTTGGTCGAGATCTCCAGATTTTTTCCACGTTTTACATCAACTCAGTTGACATCAACATTTTCTGTGACAGTCTCGTTAAAAGCTGGCTGAGTCTCGTTAAAAGCTGATCTCTTCTTTTTGGATGATCTGTATACAAGCTGAAGCAGGGTTGTGGCAATAGTAATTAATAGTACTATTTTAATTATTGGCAGTTATCTAACGATGATATTTATTGAGATTTTGATTTGAGGAAATGGATGTGAACCATATTTTGTCTTACACGTGAAAGCAAATAGTATTAACCAATGAAAACTTACCATGACTGGCGTGATTCAAAACAAATATGGTTCACTTCCCCACCAGTATTCATATCTATAAATCGCACCCTATAAATTGTCCTCATCCATACCAAGATATGTTACTAATTAGATGTAATTTTATGAGAGTTACCTGCTGTTTGACTGACTGCAAGGCTGAGTCCTGGTAGTAGAGTTTCTGAGAAAGTGTCTCCAGTGAGACAGAGTTAGCGTTGATCTTATCAGCTAGCCCGTAGTTGCTCTGCTTGTAGGAAGCGAACGAGCTGCTCAGGGTCTCCAACTCGTATTTCTGGCTTGTTATATCCGAGATCACAGTCTGAATCTCCCTTCCTAACAGTTTCATTTGTCAACATTCAATTTAATAAGATCATCATAAATGCTCAAAAAATTCATCGTAAATGTTTGTAAAATATTTTGACTCTTAACCTAGCTTGGAGACATCAGTTTTCTGCAAATAGACAGTGGTAGCCACTTCTTCTAACGTGTTACTGTCAGACATTCTGGCATTCTTCTCAGCTCTAAATTCAGCCCGAACAAACTCTGAAATGGAGAATGGCTGGGTTAGCGGACACTAATGCATGATAGTTGATACCAGTAATAGTACTCCAAAATACTTTCAATGAGTTATAAGGCATCCTTCATGATGTTACCACCATGCACTGAAGTCCGTAACTCAATCGGTACAAGATCGAATGGTTGCCTAAATAACTGATTTTGTCAGGATTCTTGAATAAGGAGACAGTAAGGCCGTTAAAATAAAAAGCCGGAAACATTTATTTCCAGAAGAATAAGGGTAGATAAAGCAAGCACTGACCTAGTTCAGATTTGACGTTGCTTAGCCCTGATTCCAGCTGAACGATCCGGTTCTCAATGTAAGCGGAAACAGCGCCACTGTCGCCACCACCATCACGATACACCACAGTTTGCCCTCCGGCTGAAGCTGCCTGTTGTCTCACTGTCTCCAACTCTCCCACTAATCCTCTCAACTGACCCTGGGAGATCAACATGAACAAGAGTGATTCTCGTGATACTTACTATTAGTTTCGACTTTAAAAAGTGCTATCTGAAATGCGACATTTAATTGTATTGTTTTACTGGGACCAGGGTTGCGACGAAACTTACCTCAAGAGATTCAATCTGAGTTTGCATTGCAGGGATATAGCTGAGGATTGTGGAGACCTTGCTAACATAGCTGTCGAACCCGTTGTATAGACCTCTCATTCTCTTCCTTATTATTAGTATCTGATCTAAAACAGATCTTATTTCATTTACATCCAAACACATTTTCATCCATTTCAATCAACAGTAACAATTTGGAAATTATGGAGAAGCTGCGTACTGCATAGTTAAATATCATGTTTGAACAGTGTTCTACTCACAACAAGACGGCTGCTTCTCATCAGACTGATCCCTACAGTCCAGGACCCCATCACATACCCTTTCTACTTCTATACAGGTCCTGTCTCCGCACTGGAAGGTATGGTTGGGACAGGGTGGGGGCCCGCAGGTCGCTGCTGACTCGTCACTCCCATCCTGACAATCCATCCTCTTATCACATGTCAGTGATTCTAGGATACACTTGCCATCACCACATTCGTGCCCATCACAGCAACCCTGCGATATCGGGGTTATATCAGTAACACTGTGGGGCTGGGGGCCACTAGAGCAATCATTTAAAGTTCACTAAAATACGAAATAAGAGCTAGGAGATAGATACTGACCTTTTCATCTTTGCCATTGTCGCAATCCTTCATGCCATTGCAGACGAGTGAAGGAGGGATACAGTTATCAGGGGAGCACTGGAACATGGAGGCGGGACACTCTTTACACTCCCCCTCATCCTCCGCCCCTAAACAATCCTGGTAACCATCACACACCCACGACTTGTGTAGGCACCACCCGTTCTTGCACTGGAACTCGTCCGCTTTGCAAAGCGGGTAATCACACTGGGGAGGTAGATTGGACAGGGAAAGTTATGTATCATTGCAACTGGGAAGAACACATGTTTTACCTTCTGCTAAAAATAGAAATTAAATTCAAATTATACCAATACAAGCCAAAACTAAAAGCTTTCACATTGTTATTTTGCAAATCTTCAGTACCATACTTAAAAGCGCCAAATCATCACTTAAAACATGAAGTAAACCTGAAGCTCGTCACCACCGTCAGGACAATCAAAGTCCCCATTACACTTGACGCTCTCATGAAGACACGTGGTCCCTCCCGGACACCTGAACTCGTTACTGGCACACGTGTCCACACAGTTCTTCTCGTCAGCACCGTCCTGGCAGTCCTGCCACCCGTCACACAGGAACCGTTTAGAGATACACCGACCTTCTTTGCACCTGTACTCGTTCCTACTGCAACCTAGTGCACCAGCAAATCAGGGATCACTGTCATCAGTGTGACTCGTAATTATTATTTTGAGCACGACGTTGCTTATTGAGCTGCTTTCTTAGGTAAACAAAGAGTCTTTGGTGATAATATTGCAGGTTCAAAGAGTATAATTAGTTTGTACCGTGCCCAATTTCAACATGGCAAATGTGCTACTTTATGAACGCTGCAAATTGATTAAAAACATGACCGAAACATTAACAAACATGCTTTAGTACTTACGGTCCTGAGTAAAAGCAACGGTAAAGACGAAAAAGCAGAGCGCAGCAAAGCTTGTCATGGCTAAGCTGGCCATCCGTGGTGATTCCGTATAAATGTATTCACGGCGTGTAACCCGTTTAAGATAAACAACTACAAGTAATATTAATAATGTCAAGTTACTATTGCAGCCCGCACATCACATCGTGGTATATTGTTGGCGGGTCACAAAACGGCCGGCGAGTAAACATTTCATAAATTCAGTGTCACGTGGTCACAACAGCCGTTAGTCGGTGGAGTTACCACGTGATACAACAGAAGTGACCACGTGGCAAGGGTACATCCGCCTTTCTGTATGTAACCTATCTGCTTCAAGTCAAGTCCGGGTGCAGGGCCAATCATTCAGATAGAAATACTCTGTTAATACCGTTCATCCTCAAAACACGGCCTACCAGAAAATTATAATTATAGATCATAAACTTTAATCAGAATGCAATTTACGATTTTGACTGGACACAATAAAGCCTAATTTGATCGGAGACGAGAAGTTTTTGGGTTTGGCAACACATTAAGATGGTGGAGCTGGTGTCCTGAACAGTTCCTTTTATTTGGAATAATAGCCTTCTGCCGTTAATGCCATTAACACTTTGATTAACACTTTTGACTTTTTGGCAGCAACCATGACACTAACTTATTGGGTATTATGGGGCGGTGCCGGGGAGAGCCATTAAGTAAGGAGAATTATTTTGGTAAAATACAAATTGAACGATTAACCTGAGTCTAACGACCAGCGATTAGAAATAGCATTCGCTGATATTTCAATCAAAATTTAACAAGAAAATCTATTTTCCATTTTATAATTAAAATTTACAACAAAAAAGCGGTAAAAATAAGCTAAACAATACACATTCGCGAAAGATGGTTTTCGTATTAGTAAACTTAATTTGCGATTCTCCAGTACATTAAAGTTTGTTCAAAATACTTGGAGTTTTCAGTAACTCGGACATCTGATTCCTCGTGGCATGCTGCTTCTGAGCTTCCGTTAGTTCTCTCGTAACTTTCCTCAAGTTTAAGCAGATATTCTTAACCACCCCAGTGTGGTTATACGACTGTAGGATATAGTTGTAGGATAGTTGTAGGATAATTGTAGGATATTTTATGGCAAAATGTAAAGCACATTACACAAACTAATCGTTTATTAATAACTAATGTTGTACTGTGTAAATCTTCCAATCAGAAGATCTAACTGATAATGGAGATTTATTTTTGGCAGAGGTGAGAGCCTCGCGGCTCGCAAGAAAATATTTTAATACAAAAAAATTAAAACCTTGAGATGTTTATGAAGAGATGAAGCGTGGACAAAAGACTTGTGACAAGTTCCACAGGAGAACTGTTTAATACCAAGGTGTGTTGGGTAGTGAGCTGTCAGGTTGCTGTGCACTGCAAACTTCCTGTCTGAAACAGAGACATGTTTGAAAAAGGAATCTATCAGGAGTGGCAAGTCTTTTTTATTTGATTTGAGAATTCCCTCTTGACCGAAGCTAAAAAGGTAGTGTGTTTGGTTTGTAAACCTTAATGAAATAATGATCACAATCAATACTCAATTGTTGTGTTGTGTTACGCACAGAATATATTTATTTCACCACAACTTCATCGCAATGACATCCTGGTGTCTATACGGCTTCAGCAGCTGTCTACAAAAACCATTTTGTCGGAAAAGTATCAAGGTTCACCTCACAGTTACTGCAATCTAAGCAACTAAATACTCACCACAGTAGGGGCAGTGGTAGGGACGCTCTCCGGTGTGTATTCTGTAGTGTCTCACCATGTTGCTGTGGTGAGCAAACTTCTTCCCACACACGGTGCACTCATACGGTCGTTCTCCTGAGCAGAGACGGTGGAACTAATCTCGACAACTCTAGATCTTGAGATCACCAACATTATGATAACTGTGTTAGTAACAGAAGGCAGTGGTCAGTGGTGTAATAATCAAATCAACGTAAACAACACTAAACTGCTTTTACCTGTATGAACTCGACTATGTTCCCGCAAGGTCCAAGCAGAAGCAAAACGTTTGCCACAAATCTGACAAGGACAATATTTTTGTACCGTAGGCTGGTCTTGATAAATCATATCGCTGCAGGGCAGAGGCACTATTGGTTGATTGATACCAGTAGTCGGTCTTGTAATATTACAGCCTTTTTCGTTATAAGTTTCGGGTAAAATAACATGTGATCCCCTGGAATTACTCGCTAATTCATGTCTCAGAGGAGCATTGCCGTTTAAACTTGTTTCGCTCTCCGTGTAACTGTGTGCATGCAACACTTTGTTTGTGCAACACTTTGTTTGGGCAGTTATCAGATTACACGAAAGTAACTCCAAGTCTCTATTCACGGACATGCCATCATGCTGTTCCATCTCATCGGTTAAGTTTTCTGGGCTGGTTCTATAACCGTCCTCGGAAGTATGTTTTGAGCCGTTAAAGCTGGATGTGTTGTCATGACAACACACGTTAAAGCTGGATGATGTATTTAAACTAGTGGAGTATGAGGAGGAAGAAGTATCTGTCCTATCAGGTCCAGACGAGAAGGGTGTTGTACCAGCAGTGTTATAAGCAGTGGAGGGTATCGTACTGTTCACAGACCCATCAAGATCCAGTCCTGTGTTCTGGAAAGAAGTGCAGTTTAGTTAAGGTTCTTATCTACAATATCTTATCTACAATATCTTATCTACAATATCTTATCTACAATATCTTATCTACAATATCTTATCTACAATATCTTATCTACAATATCTTATCTACAATATCTTATCTACAATATCTTATCTACAATATCTTATCTACAATATCTTATCTACAATATCTTATCTACAATATCTTATCTACAATATCTTATCTACAATATCTTATCTACAATATCTTATCTACAATATCTTATCTACAATATCTTATCTACAATATCTTATCTACAATATCTTATCTACAATATCTTATCTACAATATCTCATCTACAATATCTTATCTACAATATCTTATCTACAATATCTTATCTACAATATCTTATCTACAATATCTTATCTACAATATCTTATCTACAATATCTTATCTACAATATCTTATCTACAATATCTTATCTACAATATCTTATCTACAATATCTTATCTACAATATCTTATCTACAATATCTTATCTAAAATATCTTATCTACAATATCTTATGACATTAAAAGATAATGGGGGAAAATGTCAAAGATAATGAAAAATAACTCTCTCCACGCTTTGTATGTGTGTGATTACAGATTTCTACTACGAATCATTACTGATTTAAACAGATTATTACAATAATTATAAAGATTAAATAACCTTCATGAGAAGACGGAGTTGCATTTCAGTGTAGTGTTCCATTATGTGTATCTTCAACAGTCTCTGCTCTTGGAACTCGGCGCCACATCCATCGCAACTACTGAAGTTGTTTTTTGAAAATATTGATGTTCGACCGATAAATGGGCTGTGGATATGCCCAAACATTGAAACATGTGCATTTTGCATATGATCTCATTTTGGCTATATGTGGTTTCTAGGCTGTAGAGAGTAGAATAAAATCGTAGAATTCGAATTTCAAGTACCTATTCTTTAAAAAACGTGCAAACTACGATAGTAAAACTAAAGCTACAGGTTGCTGCACTACTTCTAAAATAACCTAAGCTTGATGAAACCCACTTGCCCTACTTACGAGTAAAGGAGTAATGGATGAGAAAACAAAACACTAAACTGTAACACTGTAACTTAGAAAAGTTGCTAACAATGTTTCGTGAGGTTGAGTATACCCCACATTTTAAATGTAGGTCACCACACCTTTGGTGAGTGAAAATGATAAAGTAGCTATATCTGGGTTATTATCTGGGTTATTATCTGGGTTATTATCTGGGTTATTATCTGGGTTATTATCTGGGTTATTATCTGGGTTATTATCTGGGTTATTATCTGGGTTATTATCTGGGTTATTATCTGGGTTATTATCTGGGTTATTATCTGGGTTGTTATCTGGGTTATCATCTGGGTTATTATCTGGTTTATTATCTGGGTTATTATCTGGGTTATAATCTGGGTTATTATCTGGGTTATTATCTGGGTTATTATCTGGGTTATTATCTGGGTTAGATAAAGGGACTGTTTGTTAGACTCACCACACTCCAACTTTAGGTTCGTAGTTTTTACATTCGGAGTTTTGCAACTTGTGCCACAGAAGAGAGTTTCGATACATGAAGGGGTGAAGACACTTCAAGCAGGTGTATAGCCCGCAATCTGAGATAATCATCTAATTAATCATTTAATTAGTTAATGTTACCTCTTTGTTATGTAGTTTATGGGGACATACACCAAAACCGTTTATGGTTATTCCCGCCAGATGACTTCATATTAGGAAAATATAGACAAAAACAATAAGTTTAGGCACATTAAACAATTTAATTACGTAATATTGAGCAACCAAAGATTAGAACCTTCACACTATCAACACACCATCTTTTGTAATGTCTCTGGTAGGATCAATTCCAAGAATAGCAGATAGAGATTCATCGTACCAGACCAACAGTTCATCATTGGCAGGAACATTCTTCACTGTCTGAAGACAAGAAAATTAGTTATCAGTGGTTGAACTAACTTAAAAGATATTATAAGCTTCCTTGTCAAATAGAATAACAAATCAGAGCAAATTTGAGCAGTTGCTATTCTTTATTCACCTGATAATAAATATGTCCATATCTTTGAATAGCAGTAAGATTCTGTTCTTCGTCACATCGAGCTCTCTTGATAAATCTCATCCAGTTTGTGGTATTCTTGCACTCCTTACTTGCCTGGATTCATGGGGAATACTTAGGTAGTAATGACCATACTCCATATTCAAATAGGATGAAAACAAATGATCAAGGAAAACTTGAAACGAAGTCGATAAAAGTAAAACTCGACCCTACCAACTGATGTTGCTCGTCAAAAGGTCCTGCATACAAAGTACCTGCGGGCACGGGTATTCTAGTCCAGACCCCGTGTCCAACCCTGGGAATCTTGCTTGGACTCAGAAATAGTCCATCAGGACATGGGATCTTCTCTCGGATGGAAATATTAGTCTTCTTGGAATCCTGCAGTTATTTTCTCGAAATAGTTCACGTAAATATTGATCAAACTATTTACTATATTCATAGCATAGGTATATTTTTGAATGCAGCCCAAAGGAGACAAAAACTAGTTGAGATTTAGCAGTGCTTATATTAGTTTAGTAACGTACCTTTTCCATTGATAAACCTGGACAAGTGCGCTTATTATTTAACAATGGTTAAAACGAACATAGATTACATGCAAAACAATGATTTGTCATTTCCTACTGATACTTGTCTCAGTACAAATGCTTTGTACTTGCATAACAGTCTCCAGGAAAGTATTGGTAAGATGTGTTATACTTTTGAAATTTTACATCACGTAATGACCTATATCATGATAAATTGGTTTAATTCCGAGTACATAAATGGCAATGAAATCTTCTTCTTTTGCTTTATTATGATAATTTCTAATTATTCTCAATCAATCACAGTTCCCAGAGGAAGGTGGAAAAGAAGTAATAAAATCTGTGCTTGCCAGGCTGCCAGGCTGGCAATGCCAGCGCTCCAATGTTGAAATTGCCAGATTGACGTTGATTTACAAAACACATAGCCTTTTCTGATTACATTTTTTAGAATCACGCGACGGGGACACCAATTGGTTTAACCTATGGTATAAATCAATTTCAATTAAATTCACAGTTCGGTGAATTTTTGAAGAAAAGATTTTATTACTTTTGTGATTGAAGTGTCAAACTAGAAAGGTGTTTAAAATTGCGTCCAAACTCGCTCTCGAAGTTGCGATTCTGAACATCTGTTTTTAATTTCACACTTCAAATTTTTTGACACGTCAAAATACGTCTAGCAAACTTAATTTAAGCGCGTTAATAAAATCAAACCTCACAAAGAAACATATTTGACAATTCTTATAAAAATCAACCTGCTGCCGCTGGCATACAAATTTCAGTTCTTACTAAAACAGAAATCATGATTTTCTTTGTGCTCCTAATTGGAGCTGCTTCAGCAGCAGCACCTGGACTTCTCCAGTCAGCCCTGAGTAACCCCGCTGTCTTCACCAAACTGTTCTCTGAATATGGAGTAGCCCAGGATAGACATTACCTTGCACAGGAGAGGAGACTCAGAGCAGGTCTCTTCAGACAGACCCTTAAAGAGGTGAGTATTAGGCACTGACTACCGCTCTTGCTGGTGAATCTTTTTCCTGGTTATCAAATAGTTAATTCTCAACTGAGCCATAGGAAGATGATTCTGAGTGCATGCATTATTTTTGTATCCTTCACTTTACTGTTTACTGTAGTTCATGGGTACATATTATACAGAAGTCCACTAATATAAACCAGCGTTTCACAACTGATCGTGTCCCACCACCAGGTTGTAGAGCATAACGGAGTGGGAGATCGAGAGGATTGGGTGATGGAACTTAACATGTTCGCTGACATGACTGAGGAGGAAAAGGCTGGTTACACTGGATTCAACGCTTCTCAGGCCCTTGAAAGTCTTGGTGATGTTGAGGAGGCAGTAGTTCCTCAATACCTCTCTAACCCTTCCTGTGAGTTATCGTCAATTTAATCATGAAGGCATCTTGGAGTCTTACTTTTAGAATTCCAACAAAGCATACGGTGTTAATTTTTACTTTGGTTTATAAATAAAACGTTCCGAATCTCAGCTAAGGACTGGAGAGGTGTAGCTGTGACTAAAGTAAAAGACCAAAAGAGCTGCGGTTCTTGCTGGATCTTCTCTGGAGTAAGTAATTTATATACATCCGCCAAAAAAAACCTTAAAAAGTCTCAAAGTTTACATCCTTTTATTTGTTCTAACTTGAGCTGATACCAGCCAGTTAATATATGTTTTTTACTCAGTTTGGAGCTCTCGAAGGACACTACAAGACTCAAGGTAGCATCCTGAAATCTTTCTCCGAGCAAGAAGGTTTGAACTGTATCCAGAGGAACGGCTGTAAAGGAGGCTTCATGGGAAAAGTTTTCGACTGGCTCAAAAAATCAAACAGGGTAGGAGCAATGAAAGATCTCCCCTACTCTGGAAGACAGGGAAGTTGCAGTGGCAATAGCCAAAACGCCCTCATAGCTTTCCGAGTAACTGGTTACTCTAACGCTAGAGGAGATTCCGGCCATGTTACTGCTCTGGCCACCAAGGGACCCCTCTCTGTCGGCTACAGTGTTGCCAGTGATTTCTTCAAGTACAAGGGTGGAGTCTACAGGAGGTCTTCCTGTTCAGGTAGGTGTTCTTCTTGAGAATAGTTTGAAGTGTCATTTAATATCCAAGTGCACATTCATTTGGTGGAGCTTTTGACATCCTGAGTTTAGCCATTCTAAATTCTAAATTTTGATCATCAATACTAATCATAGATTTAATCATCAAAATGTCATCATCTTGGAATATGTTTGTCACGTAACCACGAACTTCAGTATAAATATCCCAGGCGGAGGGCACGCTGTGACGAGTGTAGGTTACACTGCTGACTACTTCAGGATGAAGAACAGTTGGGGCGCTCGGTGGGGTGAGAGCGGTTACTTCAGGATCGGGCGTGGTAATGTGTGCGGAATCACCAACATGGGATTCGCTCCCACCTTCCAATCTACCGGTCAAACTGACAATGGCACTGATGAGGGAGGTAAGCCGGGAAGCCGATATAAGACTCGTTGTATACAATTGTCACTTGCTTAAGTTATTCGGATTGCGTCTAAGACGTGAATCCCATTACTAACAACTGATCACGATATCTTCTAATTCAGGTGATGACGGTGGTGATGACGGTGGTGATGACGACAACAACAAAACATGTACTGACAATCACAGCAGATGTTCCGAATGGGCTGGCCGAAACCCCTCAGAGTGTGCAGAGGTGACTGCAATTTCGAAAATGTTTTTTCACAATTTAGTAACTTTTGATTGAGATGAAACTCAACTAATCAATAAAATTTGAGCAGTGCCATTACTTACTGTTTAACAAAACAAACCCCTCAGAACTGGACCTACATGAAGTCAAACTGCCAGAAATCCTGCCAGCAGTGTGGATGTCAAGACATGAGCGCCAAGTGTGGAGGATGGAAAGCAAAGGGATATTGTGGATCCGGAGGTTATGTTGACTACATGAACTTCGTGTGCAGGAAGTCTTGTGACAAATGCGGTAAAGATGACGGTGGTGACGGTGGAGATTGCCAGGAAGGTTTTAAGAAGTGCCCTGATGGCAGCTGTAAACACGAGCACTGGGACTGTTAGGATTCACGGACTGGTTCAAATAAAGCGCGTAGTAATTAGAAAACTTGCAATTTAGTTTTATCTGAAAATATTTACTAAATATTTGTTTTATTTTTTCAATATTTAGCCTGAAATAATTGTAACAGTTGACACAAATATAATCTCAAACTATTTTAGGTCAGAGGATACTTTGATAGACGTTATTATTCTAACATAATTTAGAATTTAGTAATGACTTGTTAGCCTCATTTCCCCCTCAATTATAAGGCAAAAAGGGGTCGGCTTGGCCAGCCTTCGACCTAAAGCATCCATCTCATGTATTTTAGGTCAGATGATACTTTGATAGACGTTATTATTCAAATATAATTCATAACTTAGTAATAACTTGTTAGCCTCATTTCCCTCTATTAGCGAAAATATTCCTCTTATCTTCGGATTCTGAAAGAGTTCGATCTGATGAATCGATTGAAGTTGAACACGTCCAAACTTGTATTACATACTTGGAAGCTGTCATTAGAATACAAAATGTAAAATGACTCGTTAGCTTCAATTTTCCCTCGATTAAATGCTTCAAAAATTGTATTAATCGAAACTCAATTAGTTGAACTATCTTACTTACTTACTTACTTGTACTTGAAAAGGTCTCCTCCTAGTCGTTGGAGTGGCCTGCACCACATAGTAACTCCTTTCTCCGGTGTATTAGACCTCTCCAGTGAACCCTGTCTGTAGCTTGTTGTTCTGCATCTTCTATCGTGATGTTATCGACACCTGTGAAGATTGCTGCATCCTCCCGGACACATGACAACCAGTTTTTCCGAGGTAAACCTCTTGACCTTTTACCATGCTTTGGGATCCAGTGCAGAAGATAGTTGGGTATTCTTTCTTCTGGCATCCTCACCACCTGGCCAAACCATCGGAGTCTAGCTGCTCGTACGAAAGTATCAACAGGGGCGATGTTAACCCGCTTAAGTACATCAGCATTAGATACATAATAAAACCATTTGATTTTCAGGATTCTCCTCAGACATCTATGATGGAACACCTCAAATCTTTTCATCTGCGTCTGTGTGGTATTCCATACCTCACTTCCATAAAGCAGTATAGTGAGCACAGCCGCTTTGTAAATCCTGATTTTAGTTGGAGTCTTAATGCTGCGACTGTACCATATACTGCTAAGCTGATAGAATGCCCCAGAGGCCTTTTGAATTCGAGCTGATAGTTCTTTGTCAATTGTTCCATTCGCACTGATGATTGCACCCAAGTAAGTGAAATTGCTGACCTGCTGTATTGGGAGACCTTCCACATTGATGTCCATAGTGTCGTCTTTAGAATACGGCCTCTGCGATGCACTTTTGCTGACAACCATGCTCTGTGTTTTGCCAGCATTAATCTTCAGACCCGCATAGGCACTGTATTTGCAGAGAAGGTCAGTGGTTTCCTGCAGCCCCTCTTTTGAGTTATCTAACATGGCCATGTCATCAGCGTAATCAGTGTCCAAGAGATGTTTCTCTTCTACCCCGGGGGCTGGCAGCTGTAATAAAGCCCCCTTGCTAATGACTTTGTTTAGTTCCATAAGGTATGCCGAAAAATTCAAACAAAAGTTGAAGACTGGTGGTCCCTGTATATCACCTTGCCCAGTTCCCGAGTTGACATCAAACCAACCTGTAACCTCTCCATTGACCCTAACAGCACTAATTGTGTGAGTGAAGAAAACCTTTATAATTCTAATGTACTTGTCAGGTAAGCCGTAGTGCTGCATACTTCTCCAAATGAACTGCCTGTCAATCGAATCAAAAGCTGCTTTGAAATCAACAAAATTAATATACAGAGGAATATTATACTCAATGCATTGGTGTATAATACAGCGGAGTGAATAAACCTGGTCAATACATGAGCGATTCTGTCTAAAACCACTTTGATTCTCCCGGAGAAATTTTTCCATGCCATTGCTAAGTCTCTGCAGGAGTATCATCTGCAGGAGCTTCGGGGCTGTGGATCTTAATGTAATGCCTCTGTTGTTAGCGCAATGAGAGGTGTCACCTTTCTTTCCAACGATGATAATAACACCTTTGGACCAATCCTCAGGAATCTTCTCATCTTCCCACACTTTCTTGAACAACACAACTAGTTGATCAACCAACCCATCCTGTCCATACTTAAGTTGCTCGTTGGTGATACCATCCACTCCTGGACTTTTGTGATTCTTGAGTTTTTTGAGGGCATCAACAATCTCGTTTCTTGTAGGAGCTTCATCCGAATCGGAAAGGTCGTCAAAACTGGGTTGCGGAGGGATGTTGTCTAGGTCAGAAATATTGGCCTCTTGCGGGGGAGGGTTCAATAGCCTAGAGAAGTGCTCTTTCCACCTTTCTTTCTGGGCATGAGGGTCGGCAATCAACTGGCCAGATACGTCTCTAACTGCAGTTGACTGCTTCTTCTTCTTTCCAGATATGACATTGATCTTCTGCCATACCTCACGTTGCTGACCTTTTCTCGCAGCTTCTTCCAAGTCATTGGCCATTCTACGTGCCCAGTTGTTATCGTCCACCTTGCTACTTTTTTTAAAGAGCTTATTCAATCTAGAATACTCTGACCTGTTAGCGTTCGAATTAGGGTCTTTACGCTTAAATTCCTTACGGTTCTTCAATAATTCTTTTGTCTTCTGAGATTGGTGCCTGTCCTTCTTTTTTCGAGGTCTTTGCCCAAGAATTTCCATGGAAACTTGTTGGACAGTTGTCTTGAAGTTGTCCCACATTGATTCCAGGTCAACCTCAGGTTCCAAACAGTCAAATTTGTTTCTCAGAACAATATTGTATTCGGAAACAAGTGAATGATCACGCAGATGCTCAATAGCAGGAATCTCAAGCTTACGTTCCTGCTTCTTTTTCACTGACATAAGCTTCATTCTCAGTCGTGCTCTTACCAAATAGTGATCAGACCCAATGTCAGCCCCCCTACAAACTTTTACATTTAGCAGAGAGCCTCCAAACTTCTTACTGATACAGATGTGGTCTATTTGGTTTACAGTACGACCATTAGGTGATCTCCACGTACCTTTATGTATATCCTTTTGCTGAAACATAGTGCCACCGATGGTAAGTTGGTGGGCAATGCAAAAGTCCAACAATCGGGTACCATTGTCATTTGATGAGCTGTGAAGCGAGTGCCCACCAATGACACCTGACATAGAACTGCAGTCCGATGTGACCTTAGCATTAAGATCACCCCGTAGTAATTTTAGATCATGTCGGGGTAGCTCATCGAATGCACTTGACAACTGCTGGTAGAATTCATCCTTATCATCTGAAGCCCCCTCAGTTGGCGCATATGCCACAACAACAGAGATGTTCAGGTGTTGACTATGCAGCCTTGCACTCAACAAACGGTCAGATATTGGTAGATAGGAAATTAATGAATTTTTAATCTTCTTTGAAAGGGTAAGACCGACACCTCGCCTTCTTATACCGTCCGTCCTCCCTGAATAAATAAGTAAGGAGCCATTATCCAGTAGCTCTGATCCTGTACCAGGCATATGGGTCTCAGTTATACCCAGCAAGTCCAACTTATACTCAGAGATATTCTCTGATAGCTGGAACAACTGACTTGAACTACTTGTCAGAGATAATACATTCCATGTCCCAAATGTAAGACCTGTTTTAGAATAATTCGCTGGCTGTTTCTTATTAGAGTCGGAGTCCACATGGGTGATCTGTGGAAAAATAAATCTGCTACAATGACGTGTTCTCCCAACACTCATCTGGCCACGGGGGTCCCTTAGGCTTTGCCCCGCCACCTTCATACTGGTATCATCCGTCCTTGCATAGGGAGCCACACACCGTTTCTTGTTGTTACTTTGTGATGTTTCTGCAGCAAATTTTTAGAGAGGAGAAGTTGCTAGCATCTCGCACCCGGTTTTTTATCGACCTTTGCCTGTCTAGATCCATAGTGTTTAGTTGCACGTCATCTGTTTAAACTGGAGTCACCCAGGACAGATTACAATGCTTAATAGTAGCACCTCGAAAAGGATGTGATTCTTCATCACGCACTATGGTCATTGGAATAGGAGAGGTTATTGGCTTCACCGCCTTCACGATCACTATTCCCTGATATTATATAGTTGAACTATAGACATGTGAAATATCATATGCCTATATTAAAAGTTCTTGCTGTGACAATCTTCTAAAGTTAAATTGGAAAAAAAAGGTCCATCTCGTGCGAACTTTCCTAATAACCAGGGTCCAAACTAGAAAGGTGTCTAAAATTGCGTCTAAACTCGCTCTCGAAGTTGCGATTTTGAACATCTGTTTTTAATTTCACACTTCAAATTTTTTGACACGGTAAAACTCGTCTAGCAAACTTAATTTAAGCGCGTTAATAGAATCAAACCTCACAAACAAATACATTTGAAAATCCCTATAAAAATCAACCTGCTGCCGCTGGCATACAAATTTCAGTTCTTACTAAAACAGAAATCATGATTTTCTTTGTGCTCCTAATTGGAGCTGCTTCAGCAGCAGCACCCGGACTTCTCCAGTCAGCCCTGAGTAACCCCGCTGTCTTCACCAAACTGTTCTCTGAGTATGGAGTAGCCCAGGATAGACATTACCTTGCACAGGAGAGGCGACTCAGAGCAGGTCTCTTCAGACAGACCCTTAAAGAGGTGGGTATCAGTGGGCACTGGGTAGTAGGTATTAGTAGGTACCGAATACCGCTCTAGTTGGCGAATCTTTTTCCAGGTTATCAAATAGTTAATTCTCAACTGAGCCATAGGAAGATGATTCTGAGTGCATGCATTATTTTTGTATCCTTCACTTTACTGTTTACTTACTTACTTTGTTACTTTGTTGGGCTTCATAGAATCCTCTATCGGGCCATCGAAAAAGTCGACCCCCCGGACAGTATAGAAACTGTTTTATCACCACTCCAATCCAGCAAGGAGTTTCCATTCCGACGGCTGTATCCTGGAGCTGGAGGCTCGTCCGGAAATGACTTCACAAAGTTCGTTAAAGCTGCTTTGAATTGCATAGGATCCTCGATGGTGTGCATATGTGTTGGGATTACATTCCATAATCGAGGTCCAGTGACTGCAAATGAGTTGTCATGTAGTGCTTGATTACGTTGACTGCTGGATTTAGCTATACTGGGCGCAACTGCTTTTTGACTATGTCTGACAGTCACCGAGAACTGGATACCAATATCATTAGGGCACTTGCAATGCAGAACTTTCCACATGTTGATGATTAAATACTGTTCTCTTATTCTTTGCAATGATATCACTATCAGATCTAGGGCCTTTAATCTCTGCCAGTAGTTGAGGTGCTGGGTGCCATCTATTTTTGATGTAAACGTACGCTGAATCCCTTCTAGCTGTTGGATGTCCTTGTTCTTAGAGAAATTCCACAAAGGACAGCAATACTCCGTCTCCAGATGACTTCTAACGAGAGACTTGTATAGAGTCATCATGGTGGCTTTGTCTCTCGTTTTGAACGCACAGAACTCTATCCTTCATTACCTTGGCAGGAAACAAATTGCGGTGCTCCTACTGTTAGACTACTCCAAAGCTTTCGACCTACTTGAACACAAAATTTTGCTTAAAAAACTGGAACACTACGGAATTAGAGGTATAGCACTAAGCTGGTTCGACTCCTATCTTCACGATCGTCATCAGTTCGTCACAGTCAACGGGGTTGATTCCAGTCCCAAGACGATCAATTATGGTATTCCTCAAGGCTCTATTCTGGGCCCCCTACTCTTCGTCATCTATATAAACGACCTCCCCGGAATCTCAGACCTGGCCAAGTTCATACTTTACGCCGATGATGCAAATATTATAGTCACGGGCCATAACGAGGAAGAAATTCAAAGTAAGCTCTCCATGATTGCAACACTTCTAGTGAATTGGGTAAGTAGCAACGGGCTTTCTTTAAACCTGAAGAAGACCCACTATATGGTCTTCAGTAACCGTAAAGTAGATTATTCCAAAATAAGTCTCAACATATCTGGAACAAACATTGAACGGGTTACTGAGGCACGGTTTCTGGGTGTTATAATTGATGAGAAACTAACATGGTGTAAACATATCACAGCGGTAAGATTAAAAATGAGTAGGTACATAGGCATCATGTTCAAATTAAAACGACATCTGCCCCTAAAAGTGCGACTACAACTCTACCATAGTTTTATTGAGGCACATGTTAACTACTGCTCGTTAGCCTGGGGATTCGCGGCAAAATGTCACATTGAGACATTATTCCGTAGACAAAAGCAAGGAATGCGGATGGTTATGCCAGGATATGTAAATTACTTTTACAAAGACGGCAAATTGCCAGCTCACACCAGAGAAGCATTCTGCAAATTTGAGATTTTGACAATACACGGCATCATCGTAAAGAATGCGCTTACATTAATGCACCGCATGAAGCACTTTCCTAACACAGTACCTGTATCAATTAGAAATTTGTTTCCAGATAACATACCCACGCATGGTTCAAATCATGAGAACAGTAGCGAATGGCTAGATACGTACAATAACCGATGTTTCAAAGCATCCATCTTTTTAAAGGACCTTTACTAGCTCTAACAGACACCAACAAGAACATCACGTCCCTACCTAGCTTATTTTCAATAAATATTTACAAATCGAACGCAAAACGCGTGCTTCTTGAGCAACAGTCAACACTAGCTAACTCAGAGGACAGCTGGCCAGCATTTCTGCTACACAACGTACCTGGTTTGAGGAAGTCCAATAGATGAGGGATGATTGAGTAATACAGCGACCAATAATCGCTAAATCATGACATCATATCATAACATAACATAACATAGGACGACAGCAAACACACAATAAACGAGCAGTAATAAACAACGTTCGCTTAATGGACTGACATATTTCAGCATATTTTTCACTGCCAAAGCGCTGATAACAGCAAGCCTTACCCCACTCCGCGCGGCTTTTTAATGCACTAAATCTTAAAGATAATTCTCGCGATAAAATTTTCATCGTCACGCTTGAAAATTTCTAGAAATTAGAATAGCCGTATATTATAACAAACTATAGCAAGCAGAATTAAAAGATAAAAGGTTCTGGGACTTGAGTGGTACAAATAAAATGAAAGGCATGCTAATCATGCTCACGTACTGTAATGTGTCGAGAGTTTTTTTAATTTTTACTATTTGACAAAATAATTGATCTTTTTAGTGTGAGTGTGATTTCAACTTTGAGTTTGATAATATTTTGAAACGACTTTCGATATTATTGATTATTATATTTAATAAACTGTCTCAAAGCCCTTAGAGGTGGCTCTATACGGGTCTTTACAACAAGCACCCAAGAATTAGCAACTTTTCCTGCACGTTCAGCTATCCTGTTGACGTGTGGGGTCCAGGACAAATCAGCGGAAACTGTCACTCCTAGATCTTTCACCGTTTGAGTGGGGGTACAGCATGTTTTCGTTAGACACTTCATATGTTTGAGTTTGGATGGCGAATGGATGATCAGACAAGGAATTCTTTGGACAATGCCTGTGAACAAGAAGTTCGAACTTATCCTCATCAAGGGCCATGTTGTTGCACTTAGCGGTAGCCCAATTAACAACAGAGTTGAGATCATCCTGCAGGACATCTTTGTCGGCCAAACTGTAGATATGCTTAAGAATCCTAGTGTCATCAGCAAAGAATCTGATGACAGACCCTTTAACACATAGCTTCATATCATTTATGAACAGAATGAATAACAGTGGCCCAAGAACGGTGCCTTGTTGAACTCCGCTGAGGATTGCGGCAGGAAATGATGAGACACCATTTAACACATTACACAACACATTGCCTTCTTTCAGTCAGTAAGGATTTGATCCAGTTTACCACCTTCTCATGAAACCCCAATCTCTTCATTTTCAGAAGCAGTAACCGATGATCGAGCTTATTAAAGGCTTTGGCAAAATCCAAATATATAGCGTCAGTGTCTTCATTTCTAGTAAGACCCTGAACTATATCGTCTACGTGACATAACAGCTGGGTGATGCAGCTTCTTCCTGAGCGAAACCAGTGCTGGTTGTGGCAGAGTATCTGATTTTTCTCAATGAAGTCAACCATAACAGTCCACGAAGGATACGTTCATACACGTTGATGATGTGCGAAGTGAGAGCACATCATCAAAGTGTATGAACGTTTACTATAGTTCATGGGTACATATTATACAGAAGTCCACTAATATAAACCAGCGTTTCAGAACTGACCGTGTCCCACCCCAGGTTGTAGAACATAACGGTGTGGGAGATCGAGAGGATTGGGTGATGGAACTTAACATGTTCGCTGACATGACTGAGGAGGAAAAGGCTGGTTACACTGGATTCAACGCTTCTCAGGCCTTTGAAAGTCTTGGTGATGTTGAGGAGGCAGTAGTTCCTCAATACCTCTCTAACCCTTCCTGTGAGTTATCATCAATTTAATCATGAAGGCATCTTGATTCTTGGAGTCTTACTTTTAGAATTCCAACAAAGCACACGGTGTTTATATTTACTTTGGTTTATAAATAAAACATTCCGAATCTCAGCTAAGGACTGGAGAGGGGTAGCCGTAACCAAAGTAAAAGACCAAAAGAGCTGCGGTTCTTGCTGGATCTTCTCTGCAGTAAGTAATTTATATACATCCGCCAAAAAACCCTTAAAAGTCTCAAAGTTTAAATCCTTTTATTTGTTCTAACTTGAGCTGATACCGGCCAGTTAATTTATGTTTTTACTCAGTTTGGAGCTCTCGAAGGACACTACAAGACTCAAGGTAGCATCCTGAAATCTTTCTCCGAGCAAGAAGGTTTGAACTGTATCCAGTGGAACGGCTGTAATGGAGGCTTCATGGGAGACGTTTTCGACTGGCTCAAAGAATCAAACAGGGTAGGAGCAATGAAAGATCTCCCCTACCGTGGAAAACCGGGAAGTTGCAGTGGCAATCGCCATGAAAACGCTCTCATTGCTTTCCGTGTAACTGGTTACTCTAACGCTAGAGGAGATTCCGGCCATGTTACTGCTCTGGCCACCAAGGGACCCCTCTCTGTCGGCTACAGTGTTGCCAGTGATTTCTTCAAGTACAAGGGTGGAGTCTACAGGAAGTCTTCCTGTTCAGGTAGGTGTTCTTCTTGAGAATAGTTCGAAGTGTCATTTAATATCCAAGTACACATTCATTTGGTGGAGCTTTTGACATCCTGAGTTTAGCCATTCTAAATTATAAATTTTGATCATCAATACTAATCATATATTTAATCACCACTTCAGTATAAATATCCCAGGCGGAGGGCACGCTGTGACGAGTGTAGGTTACACTGCTGACTACTTCAGGATGAAGAACAGTTGGGGCGCTCGGTGGGGTGAGAGCGGTTACTTCAGGATCGGGCGTGGTAATGTGTGCGGAATCACCGACATGGGATTCGCTCCTACCTTCAAATCTACCGGTCAAACTGACAATGGCACTGATGAGGGAGGTAAGCCGGGAAGCCGATAAGACTCGTTGTATACAATTTTTCAGGCACCATAGCCATAGCAAGTGAATAATTAAGTCCTTATTAATTTTGTCACTTGCTTAAGTTATTCAGATTGCGTCTAGGACGTGAATCCCATGACTAACAACTGATCACGATATCTTCTAATTCAGGTGATGACGGTGGTGATGACGACAACAGTGGTGGTTACGGTGGAGATTGTCACGAAGGTTTTAGGAAGTGCCCTGATGGCAGCTGTAAACACGAGCACTGGGACTGTTAGGATTTTTGATGGAGTAGTTCAAATAAAGCGCGTAGAAATTAGAAAACTTGCAATTTAGTTTTATCTGAAAACATTGACCAAATAGTTGTTTTATTTGTTCAATCTTTAGTCTGAAATAATTGTAACAGTTGACACAAATATAATCTCAAACTGAAAATATATTTACGATTATTTGCATTACTAGAGTGATATCTGAAAAACAAGTACCAATTATATCGTTCGACTGTGTATTCACAGCATCTTCTACTATCGCTTTTAGTTTTATATCTCAAAGTACAAAAAGCTGAGAATTTAGTTTTTCAGAGTACGTCATACTATCTCGAACTAGTTTCTCGAATACATTACAACTCGCAAGGTTAACTGGGCGTTCAGTAAAAAGCCGGGCGTTATCTTTCTGAATCTGTTGCACTGTGGAGTGTGGAGAAAGTTGAACCAGCCGAACTCAGAGGCCGTTATTATCATCAGGAGGTTGTCTTGACCGTCCTGAGTTTGGAGTGAACGTTTTGTATTAAATTAAGTATACTTTTCGACAAGTTCTTCAGTTCAGCAGTGGACAATATTCTCTTCACCAAAGGAACAGTTTACGGAATATAGTCAGCAGATTTGGCACATGTAGCAAGGGGAATTTAACGCGGAAATCTGGAAAGATTATTTTGCGTTCTGTGCAAGACACAAATTTTCATTTCTGAAAAATTAAGAAATAATCGATTTTTGATATCAAGCTTAGACACTGATATGGCTCTCATAAGGTCCTCTGTATAGTTTAATAACGACAGGTTTCTTATTTTAACATACCTTATCTGACCTTATTTGGACGGACATTACTTGAACGCTGGAGGCCCTAGCGTTCATCTTAATGTCCGTTCAAATAAAGTTCGTTCAATTAATGTCCGTCCAAGTTAAAATCCGTTTAATTTTTTTCAAACATTTTTTCATTTCGAAATTTTTGTCCAGAATATGACAACTTTTTAAGTTCAGTCAATTTCAATAGCTATCATTAAACTAAACTATATTGTTGAATTAATAAAAACAAGGTATTATAAAATTTTAACAATCTGAATTGTAAATATCACATTATTGCATGATCACTATCTTGAAATTAAGTTGATCTTCGGCTTCTTCTACCTCCACATTTTCTCTTACAACTAGAATGCCTAAAGTACAGCTTAAGCTTTATCTCTAGCCCCCCACTTGGTATAGGCGACCTTCGGTGGCTTATGTCAGCTTCGATACCTTCTACCATACCACCCATCTCGATAAAGTAGAAGACAAACCGGGATATCTCCGGCCCTAGGTATGTGACCGACGGTATCTAATTTAGTCGTGTAGGTACCTTCGTACCTTATCTGCACAGCGCAGATAAGCTTACTGTATGAAAAATGGATTTGAAAATCGTTTGCTAAAATTAAAAAAACTTCAAAAAAAGATGAAAAAATTCGGAGTTTTGATAGTTTTGATTGCCTTCTAGCGTTCATATTAATGTCCGTTCATAATTATGTCCGTTCAAGTAATGTCCGTCCAAATAAGGTCCGATAAGGTAGTTCATAAATTATAAAACAAGTTTAATGCTCGAATTAATTAAAAAAATTACCTCCTTATGTTTTATTACTATGTCAAAAGAAAAATAGTGTGACTTAATAACCTCCCAGGGTTCAAAATATTTGAGGTCTGAAAACTTGCAATAATTTTTGCTGTTTACACTTTTCATGCTTTCTTTTTCAACATAGAAGACATTTCTTGAACTATTTTCATCTTAATTCTTCCAAATGCTCCTGCAGCAGTAGTTGCTGATGAAGAAGGTTGAGACACTACTACTGGAGCAGTGAAACATTGCGATGAAATAGTTTCCAAATTAGGTACTGTAGAGGCAGATACCAGTTGAGTAAGCACTGTAGAGGCAGGTACCACTTGAGTAGGTACTGTAGAGACAGGTACCAGTTGAGTAGGTATTGTAGAGGCAGGTACCATTTGAGTAGGAACTGTAGAGGCAGGTACCAGTTGAGAAGGCACTGTAGAGGCAGGTACTAGTTCAGTAGGTACTGTAGTCGTAGAGGCAGGTACCACTTGAGTAGGTACTGTAGAGGCAGGTACCAGTTGAGCAGGTACAGTAGAGGCAGGTACCAGTTGAGTAGGTTCTGTAGAGGCAGGTACCTGTTGAGTAGGTATTGTAGAGGCAGGTACCATTTGAGTAGGTACTGTAGATGCAGGCCCCAGTTGAGTAGGTACTGTAGAGGCAGGCACCACTTCAGTAGGTACTGTAGAGGCAGGTACCCCTTGAGAAGGTACTGTAAAGGCAGGTACCACTTGAGCAGGTACTGTGGAGGCAGGTACCAGTTCAGTAGGTACTGTAGAAGCAGGTACCAGTTGAATAGGTAACGTAGAGGCAGGTACCAGTTGAGTAGGTACAGTAGAGGCAGGTACCATTTGAGTAGGTACTGTAGATGCAAGTACCACTTGAGTAGGCATTGTAGAGACAGGTACTAGTTCAGTAGGTACTGTAGAGGCAGGTACCACTTGAGTAGGTACTGTAGAGGCAGATACCAGTTGAGTAGGTTCTGTAGAGGCAGGTACCAGTTGAGTAGGTATTGTATAGGCAGGTACCATTTGATTAGGTACTGTAGATGCAAGTACCACTTGAGTAGGTACTGTAGAGGCAGGTACTCCTTGAGAAGGTACTGTAGAGGCAGGTACTCCTTGAGAAGGTACTGTAGAGGCAGGTACCACTTCAGTAGGTACTGTAGAGGCAGGTACCCCTTGAGAAGGTACTGTAGAGGCAGATACCACTTGAGTAGGTACTGTAGAGGCAGGTACCACTTGAGTAGGTACTGTAGAGGCAGGTACCAGTTGATCAGGTACAGTAGAGGCAGGTACCAGTAGGGTAGGTTCTGTAGAGGCAGGTACCAGTTGAGTAGGTATTGTAGAGGCAGGTACCATTTGAGTAGGTACTGTAGAGGCAGGTACTCCTTGAGAAAGTACTGTAGAGGCAGGTACCACTTCAGTAGGTACTGTAGAGGCAGGTACCCCTTGAGAAGGTACTGTAAAGGCAGGTACCACTTGAGTAGGTACTGCGGAGGCAGGTACCAGTTCAGTAGGTACTGTAGAAGCAGGTAACAGTTCATTAAGTACTGTAGAGGCAGATACCACTTGAGTAGGTACTGTAGAGGCAGGTACCACTTGAGTAGGTACTGTAGAGGCAGGTACCAGTAGGGTAGGTTCTGTAGAGGCAGGTACCAGTTGAGTAGGTATTGTAGAGGCAGGTACCATTTGAGTAGGTACTGTAGATGCAAGTACCACTTGAGTAGGTACTGTAGAGACAGGTACCAGTTGAGTAGGTACTGTAGAGGCAGGTACCAGTTGAGTAGGTACTGTAGAGACAGATACCAGTTGAGCGGGTATTGTAGAGGCAGGTACCAGTTGAGTAGGTACTGTAGAGGCAGGCACCACTTCAGTAGGTACTGTAGAGGCAGGTATCACTTGAGCAGGTACTGTAGAGGCAGGAACCCTTTGAGAAGGTACTGTAGAGGCAGGTACCACTTGAGTAGGTACTGTAGAGGCAGGTACCAGTTGAGCAGGTACTGTAGAGGCAGTTACCAGTTGATTAGGTTCTGTAGAGGCAGGTACCATTTGAGTAGGTACTGCAGATGCAAGTACCACTTGAGTAGGTACTGCAGAGGCAGGTACCCCTTGAGAAGGTACTGTAGAGGCAGGTACCACTTCAGTAGGTACTGTAGAGGCAGGTACCCCTTGAGAATGTACTGTAAAGGCAGGTACCACTTGAGTAGGTACTGTAGAGGCAGGTACCAGTTGAGTAGGCACTGTAAAGGCAGGTACTAGTTCAGTAGGTACTGTAGAGGCAGGTACCAGTTGAGTAGGTATTGTAGAGGCAGGTACCAGTTGAGTAGGCACTGTAGAGGCAGGTACTAGTTCAGTAGGTACTGTAGAGGCAGGTACCAGTTGAGTAGGTATTGTAGAGGCAGGTACCATTTGAGTAGGTACTGTAGATGCAAGTACCACTTGAGTAGGTACTGTAGAGGCAGGTACCAGTTGAGTAGGTACTGTAGAGGCAGGTACCAGTTGAGCAGGTACAGTAGAGGCAGGTACCAGTTGAGTAGGTTCTGTAGAAACAGGTACCTGTTGAGTAGGTATTGTAGAGGCAGGTACCATTTGAGTAGGTACTGTAGATGCGGGCCCCAGTTGAGTAGGTACTGTAGAGGCAGGCACCACTTCAGTAGGTACTGTAGAGGCAGGTACCCCTTGAGAAGGTACTGTAAAGGCAGGTACCACTTGAGCAGGTACTGTGGAGGCAGGTACCAGTTCAGTAGGGACTGTAGAAGCAGGTACCAGTTGAATAGGTAACGTAGAGGCAGGTACCAGTTGAGTAGGTACAGCAGAGGCAGGTACCATTTGAGTAGGTACTGTAGATGCAAGTACCACTTGAGTAGGCATTGTAGAGACAGGTACTAGTTCAGTAGGTACTGTAGAGGCAGGTACCACTTGAGTAGGTACTGTAGAGGCAGGTACCAGTAGAATAGGTTCTGTAGAGGCAGGTACCAGTTGAGTAGGTATTGTAGAGGCAGGTACCATTTGAGTAGGTACTGTAGATGCAAGTACCACTTGAGTAGGTACTGTAGAGACAGGTACCAGTTGAGTAGGTACTGTAGAGGCAGGTACCAGTTGAGTAGGTACTGTAGAGACAGATACCAGTTGAGCGGGTACTGTAGAGGCAGGTACCAGTTGAGTAGGTACTGTAGAGGCAGGCACCACTTCAGTAGGTACTGTAGAGGCAGGTATCACTTGAGCAGGTACTGTAGAGGCAGGAACCCTTTGAGAAGGTACTGTAGAGGCAGGTACCACTTGAGTAGGTACTGTAGAGGCAGGTACCAGTTGAGCAGGTACTGTAGAGGCAGTTACCAGTTGATTAGGTTCTGTAGAGGCAGGTACCATTTGAGTAGGTACTGCAGATGCAAGTACCACTTGAGTAGGTACTGCAGAGGCAGGTACCCCTTGAGAAGGTACTGTAGAGGCAGGTACCACTTCAGTAGGTACTGTAGAGGCAGGTACCCCTTGAGAATGTACTGTAAA